ATGCGTTGGTTTTTATATGGTGATTTTTTGGACACTCAAAGACTCACATGCCATTGTCATCCCCAGTGGTCTCCCATCACAAAAAGTACACTGCTTAGACTTATCACTGGGCATTTTCATACCCCAGGTCTGTGTAGTTTGATCTGTTCTGAAATGCTGTGTTGACCTGCGACAACAGTGGTAAAGGTTGGACTGTGGTTTGGACTGAATCAACAGGAACGTGTCAAAAAAAAAGGGTCAAGTGTCACTGCATCCACATGGAGCAATAAAAACGTAAGGGCTTCTCTCACCCAAACACAGCTTCAAGGCTTGTTATGCTGTCATTATGCAAAGTATTGACCCTTGTGTGACTTTTGTGTAGTTATATAACCTTCTACACCTGAGCCACATGTCAGCAACAACATAGAACACGGTTTGTTTTTTTTGCCCCTCATTTATGAAACTTGCGTACGGCCAAATCAGGGTGTTAATGAGGCGTACGCAAAATATTTACACATTTTGGGATTTATCAATCTGGACGTGGCCGTACGGTACGCACATAATAGAACAGAATAGAACAGGCCCCACGCTGTTTACAGATGTCATCTCGTTCGATAATTTCTTTTTTGAGCCCCCTTTATGGCACTTTTGAGGCTTCCAAATAGTAAGACTCTATTTTTGTTCTACTTTGTTCATTATGATCTCAGTCGCCTGCTTCGTGAAGTTTTTTTTCTTGGCCGTTTCCTCTCAATTGTTGTAAAAAAAAAAACGGACGTGAAACAGGTGGTTTTTGAATATTTCTAGACGTGACTTTCATAAACATGTTCGTTTTCAGCCAAGGCATTCATCAACAGCCGCTGTGCGTACGCTCAGATATCTGGCCGGATCTTGCACGTTCATAAATCCTGCGTTGGATCTTGCGTATTTGGAATCTACACCCAAAATATACACCCTTTTCTGCGCAAGTGTAATAAATGAGGGCCAATTTGTCTATTGTTCCTGCAATATTTGATTGTAGCATTCCCATTGAAGTCGCTAGGTTCATAGATATACTGTAGTAGATGGACTAGGTTGCAAGGCAGGTTCAATATCGGTGTGTGGGTCGTTCTCACACACCAGCCTGTGTTGCTCAATGTGTGAGTAAGCAGCAACAAAAAAGTGTTTTAACTCAGCCCAGAATATATTTGATGAAAGCCTATATTATCCCAGGTGACGTAGTGTGGACGTGCCTGTTTTAGCTCAATACTAATCCACAGGTGTCATAGATTGTCAAATAGCAAACAAAAGGACAAGGTGTCTTCTTTACCATGTCCAGTATTTCATTAGCTGAAGCCCGAGTCGAGTGCATTGAACCCACCACAAATATAACGTTCTTTGACAAAAATACTCCACTATAATGAAGATTTACGATTGAGCACATAACGACCCCAAAGAGCGTGTCTCCACTCTGGGTTCATCTCCGCGCCCGCCTCTTGAAATGGGACCGCGCACTCGCTGCCCCCACGGTTAATTTAATGACGCGCCAGTCCAAAAGCCGCTTACGAGGTGACCATAATAACACTTGTAGCTGTTTGACGCGCTTAATCCGCCGAGCTTTCCCCATTACCTGAAGAAAAGGACCTGTTTGCCTCGCCTGCGTCCGTGTCAAAGCTACCTGCCCGAGTTCATTTGTATTAGGGGCCCCCGACTGAGAGCTCGGGCCTCTGCTCCTGGGGGCCACCGGCTGATGTGGGTAACAAGGTTTTGCAAAGAGTAAATGTTTGGATTGTGTGAGGAGGAATAGTAAGTGCAGGTGGGCGGAGGTTAGACGCACCAGAGGATTATTTGATCGCGGGAAATGGACTTTTGGATCAAGATCATTGAGCGTGGGGTAAGACGGTGACAGTGGTGCAGTGGGGCGCCAGCAGGCACATAATAGGCAGGTCAAAGCTCGTCCACTGTGTATTTAGTCATATTAGAACACGTATTGTGCTTTGCTCTGCTCTCTAAAATGACGTAAAAGAAACAGGCTACTCACTTCTTGAAATATGCTGTACATGTATTTGTCAGTGGGTGCGAAATGGATGGTTAGTTTTAGAAAAGGATTTGTGTATTAATACTTTTTTATGCATGGTGTGTGTTCTGTTTTAATTGAATTTAAACCTCCCCAGCATTTATTTGTATGACACCAAGCATTACATTGTCTGGTTCAATTGGGGAAAATGCTTTATAGATCTGTTATCAATTATGAAAAAAGACGCTGGAGTTCCTAATGCTAATGCTAATCCATGCCCGTTCTTTCTCTAAGCTAGTGGTTCCCAAAGCGGGGGGCGCAGAGCAATTGCAGGTAGGACAGAAAATTGCAACCCAGATTTGACAAGATCTGCAGCATGAAGCAGTCACTAAAAACATGTGAGGATTAAAAATGCCATTTTTGCACAACAAACCTTTTGATTGTTGTCTTTGTTTTCCTCTCAGGGAGAGGCATTCTTTTCAAAAATGCATAATGATTAAATGTTGAATATATTAAAAAAACTTTTTACCTGTTACACTGGACCTAATTTTCAGTTTAGGTGCTTGAATACTGTTACAATGTATGGCAGTTCACTTTTATTATTTCCAGAAAAAAGGGCTGAGGTTTGACACATTGAAGTCTGCAGTTAGGCCTGAGGTTTTTATCAATTACAATGCAATGTGAGAAATAAACTGTAATGGACTTTGAAGACTAAATGTGTATGAATGTCCTGATATTTGGAGCCGAACTAGAACAGAAGACTATTGCATTTGCTGCCAATGACCAACTACGACCAACAATTTCGGCGCAAACTTGACGTCACCGACACCTACCTGCAACAACCACCTCCCCCGCTCACTGAATGGTCTGATGGGATACAACTGCAGCCACAAGTATCAGACTCAGACGTACTTGTAGCTGGTATATTGGTGTTTTTTCTTCATCAAAACATTGCGTGCTGCCAATACAGCCAAGTGGTTGTAGAGTAATTTCAAGAAAATGCCAAAACCTATTTTTGAGCCAAAAACAAAGTAAATAGATTGTTTACAAAATTAGATGTCAAAGTGCACCAGGATTGATACAGGAACATGTAGACAGAAAGGGTGGGGGAATGGGGTTGTGACATTGTGACATTGTGAAATACTGAAAGACAATTTAGCATAATAATTTAACAATATGAATAGATAATTATGACATTAGAAACATAAGAAACCATACAAGTCCCAAAAACTAAATAATTCTTCAATTATTTAAAAGTATAATTGTAAATGCAGGATAGCAAATGAATAAGATTTGGACATGGATGAAGAATATTAATAAACTTATCACTTAACAAAAAAAAATTGTAAGTAAATCCAAAATGCCTAACTAAAAGCCAAAAACATAAACTTCTTAAATTTGCGACACCTAAAAGTTTCTCATGTCACATTGTGCCTGTACTCCCCCTCACTTAATATAAAAAGATTGAACGTGTCAGTAACAAAGTGCCGGGATCCGCCATTACAAAAGTCTAATGATGTTTTCGCTGATCAAGAAGCGCTCCCGTGACAATTTCCTTCCATTTACCATCTGCGCTTTGAATAGGCACAACAAACAGCTCCACAATTAGAGGTCAAACTTTCCAATTATCCTCATCATATTGTAGCACACGTCGAAAGTGCCAAAGAAAGCGGCTCTCACGGCTTCAGCCAGCGAGTGTCCGCAGCCGGGAACACATCCAGGTCCACGGCCAAAAGTCCCTTGCAGGTGTAAAATATGTTAAATTTGTCTTAGAGTACAGTCCACGCGGGACATGATCAAAGTGCAATAACTGAGCTGCTTGTAACATGTTCCCTCGGTATATTATTGACAAAATACCAAACAAGCAGTATTATTTCTGTCCATTCTGTCTCTTAAACCTTAGATTCACAACTTTCAAATAACATTTCTCTTGAATTATATTCTTAAATTAATATTGCATCGGTTTTATGTAGCGCTTATTTGGACACTCAAAGACGCTTCACATGTTATTATTAATTCACCCCATACACGATGGTGACTATTAGAAACTACTACTGTAGCCACAGCTGCCCTGGGGCACACTGACAGAAGCGAGAAAACCAATATGTGACATCACCCCCTCTGAGCACCACCAACCATTCACACACACACCAGACTCATTCAAGGCAATGGGGGTGAAATGTCTTGCCTAAGGACACAACGGCAGTTTGGCAGCTGCAGCAGCCCCACTGTGGCACCTGTGTTCCCAGAGGTTAAGTGTCTTGCCACGGGAGAAGGTCCCATGGTAGGCTTGAACCCATGACCTTCAGGCTCAAAGGCCAATTCTCTACCAACTGAGCCACTGTCGCCCTCTAAATAGAAATATGCTGAGATTTTTAAATGACTAAAGATATTTTGTATATACTTTTGTTAATATGGGGAAGAGCATTAGATAAGGAGCAAAAATCATTTTTTGTCATATGACGATGAACATTTCTTCTCAACAAGATACATTTGACCTTTTTGAATTCATATTCGAACAAATTTGACTTGTATATTGTATTGAATTGAAATTGAGATGCGTATTTGGCAGGTTCTGAAAGATCAGAATCAGCATCAGCTTTCTGGCTTCAACAGTTTGGTTCTATCTCACACATGTATTTGGGCCTCTGTCACATCTTTTCATCTGCTTTTTTGGACAAAAAAGTGAAAAAGAGGACCACTCCCTCACAGGTCTAATGTAACATGCAATAAATGTATTATAATAAGACAATGTTGTGTGCATTTAAAAGACTCTTTTTTATTAGTACAAACTACATGTACAGTATATATATATGAAACAAAATAGTTACCCCAGTTTTGATTTAAAAAAAAAAAAATTCTTAACCATATTATAACTTATGCTTTCTATCAAAGTCTGAGTAAATAGCAGCGGTTCGGCAGAATGACACCGCTACAGCCAGGTCAGCAGCGTGCACCCTCCCTCAGAACTTCCCTCTGCTCAGCGTGTGTCCTCCAGCGCTTAAATCGGTAAACAAATCGTTGTGAAATGATGCCGCGGCAGACGGCTCATTTTCCTATCGACACGCGCAAGGTACCAATTCAAATCATTACCTAATTGTGCGTCCGCCCTATCGACTGGCGCGTGGATTCTGCTGACTGCGGAGACGGACTTAACCTTTCGATATCCATTGACGGGGGCCGACTTGAGGCTGATTGATCGAGGTGCAGTTGAATAATACCTAATCAGCGTTGGGAGTAATTTGCGTAAATGAGAGCTCGTTATTGATGGCGCGCAGGCGACTTTCGGTAGAGTCGCAGCACGGTGGTCGGGCGATCAGCGATAAATATAAAGAATGAAAGACAAGAGGTGTGAGATTGAGGGCAGCCAGGTGCAAAGCCACGGGAGATGAGATGACAGGGGCCACTGATGGGGACGATTGTGGTCAGATAGAGCTTTGACTTCTGGTGGAGTCTGGAGGTTTGAGTCGTGGCGTTAAAGGAGACATATTATGCAAAACCGTCGGAGTTTTCAACCATCTAACCACATTCCTCCTCACCCAAAACAGACCTGGAATTGTTTTTAGTTCACGTTCAAACTGACGTGAGGAACATCTGGCACATATTCGCACACACATTTTAACCTTTTGATTGTGGATAAAAACTATTGAATTTCCAACAACAGATGAGAGTATTATATTTAACAGTCCCAGCATGGGAAATGCAATAGTAACAACCACAAGACATGGATAACTAATTTTCAGAAATGTTAATATATATGCATGCATGTCCCTAAATGTCCCGGAGTATTGTCCCAAATGATGTAATAAATTCCATCTCACTAATAGTGAAGTAATATGGACTCATCTATCACAAGGTCAATTTTGAGTTATCAAATATACTCAATATACAACTAGAAAAGCACTTGTAGAGCGAAAACCTCGTCCAAAAAGCACAGTTCCATCCAAATTAAATTGAATCTATGTTTTGTGTCCCAGTTCTAAGGTTTCTTTTTTTTTTTCTGGTGAAAAATGTCCACCCTAATCTAGGCAGAAGTATGGGAACCTGGGCCTATACATACTACAGGCCCAGGTTATTGGACACGTTTTAGACCAGGGACAACAGTGAGAAAGGTTGCCGTATTTTTGAACCCGCGTCTGCCTTTCACCATGGGGAAGATGGGAGTTTTCCCATGGTTTAGAGTTTACCACCCATTTGGTGCAATAAAAACATTATCAATGTAATTTTATACAAGGATAAAGGAAGTGAAAGAACAGACATCTGTTTATTTTTATAACTTTCACTGAACACAAACAAAGGGCTATTTTGGATTTAACGCAAAATTACTGCTATGAAATAAAATTGATAATGCCACAGCAAAAAAATAACTTTGAGGCAGGTTATATAGTGCGTCATTCTGACTCACCCAACCTATGTCCCCTCTTCCTCTCACACTGATAGAAAGAGGCGATCCAGATTTCTTGGACAAATATATCGCTGTCAAAGCATGCATTCTTATCTTAATTAAATTGATTACTTTTACGATCAGCTGGGAGTTATTTGAAATTGCCGTGTGACTGATTGTTGTAGATATTGTTTTGCATTCATAATTATAAAATCAGATGTCAATCAATCACTGAGGAAAAACTAACAGGACTCAAGCAAATTAATCCACAATTCTGACAATCACTTGAAAAAAAAAAAAGTGAAAAAGTGTAATCCGCCCGAACCCCCTTCCATTTAGTAAATACTGTTCAAATGCCAGAAGAACCCCACTCTTAATTGACATCTCTCCGTAATGCGACTTTGAATGTGCGCTCTTATCTTAATTGAGCTATCTGCGATGAACCGGCGGATTGTCATTTTCCCTTTTACCGGCAGAAGCCATTCACGCACAAGTCCATCCCCTGGCCTATTCAAATGATAATGGGGCCACAAGAGCAGATTATGAAAAGTAACTATTATATCCAGAGCTTTTACAAATGTCCTCTGAAGAAAGACTGCCAAGGCGACGCGCAAAACTCGGCCCAGATAATAAAAAATGGCTAATCAAAAAGAAGCAATGAGTGAGTAGGAGTAATAGTTTTGTAATGGGGATAACTAGATTGCCGATGGTAGAGGACAGGGACTTTTTCATGTAACTTAAAGCTGCAGTACCTTCATGAATAATTAATAGTCTAAAATAAAAATTATATATGGCTTCGGCTCATGTTATTGTTTGCGCAAGAATGAGCCCACGAAGTCACAACTTGATTCTTTGGGCTGAGAGCGGATTGGTTCTTTTTCACTTTTCTGTCTGAAAAATTCTGATCTAAACATGTGACAGAGGCCAAGAAAACGTTCATGTAAGAACTAGTGAATGAGCCTGATCTGTTTTAAGATAAGATAAGAAAAACGTTACTGTCCCAAGGGAAATTTGCTGTAGCCTGTTTTAGAGCCGTGATATGGGTTTTGGTAAAAAGTTCAATCTTTGGGGTTTTAAAGTTGCATTTCCAAGCTTTAAAGAACATTAGTTACGTTAATTAGATGAATATTACACTGTGATTGTGTATTAAAGATTTGACATGGCACAATTGCACAATGAAGGGTTCGTGACTATTCGTTTCACTGGCACACCATGTTATTTGAATGACCCATTACTTTAACTCGTCACATCATATTCAAACGCAGGGAAATGAGCGCCACTATTTAGACCTGTTAAATATATCTAGAATCTCAGGCCAATGGAGAGGGGGTGCCAGAAGAACCACTTCACCAGTCGATCCAAACGAAGAAGCCGAGAAGAACGTTTTGATCCTCCGTGGGTGAGAAGCCACACAGTGTGAGCTCCTCTTGCTGAGCGACTGAATATAAAGTTAAGTTGGAAGTTTCTCACAAAACAATGTTACGGTTAAAAAAAGAAGAGACGGCATTCTGTTGTGATGGGTGTTTCATTCAGCTGTCTTAAAGATAGCTTCATTTCATTGCATAGTTTTGTATAAAAGTGAGCGAATCATTAAACAGTGAATTTATAAAAACATACATAACAAAAATTGCACTTAAATTCCCACTTCATTCAGATAACCTTGATCATCGCGAGTTTGTAAAAAGTTGATAAGGCTAGTGCAATCCGTGATATTTCATTCCTGGACAGATTTATAGTGACATAAAAAATGTGTTGTGAAATCTATCTTTTAACTGAATACATGTCCGTCGTTTAGGCTTGGTAAAAAGGACAATGTCATTTGCTTTGTGTTCTTTTCACACATGTTTTGCTGTCAGAATGTCAGTTGTAGACCATGCATCAGACATACTGTACATTTAAAAACACAAAACTTTCATAACAGCTCGGTCCATGACACAATACTCAATATTCAGAGTGTAAGATGAGTCCAGGTCATTTCTGCAAGGTACGTTTATTTGTATAGAACAGTTCATACACAAGGAAATTAAAATATTATAATAAAACATTATATCAGAAATATTCACTGTACATTAAAACGACTAAAAATAAAATCCCTCAGTTGTATGCACAGCTTAACAGAATTTATTTAAATACTTTAACATTCTACAACGTGTATGGACATCAACATTCATGGACATTGGTCTCTCCCTATGGACCTGTGTATATTTTGTGTCTTAACTGTTGATTCTCTGATCTGTGTTGGTGATTTCAATGATTTTGTTAAGTCCTCTGAGATGTCTTCTGTTGTGATTTAGGGCTATTCAAGAATAAGTTGTTGTTGTTGTCAGAGAAGAAGCCTGTCTCACATTTTCAGGAAGACTGTTCCGGATTTAACTGAATACATCTGAAAGGCAGAAATACAGAAATAAAATACAGAAAGAGTTTGCTGTATTAGCCTGGATGCAGCTAAAAATGGATGCATCTCTAGGTCTGTTTTTTGATTGTGACCAATATAGTAACACAAAGTTCAACAAAGACGATTTTACACAATACTTGTAGAGCCATGTAGAGTGTTCATATTGTAAACTGGTACAGCTGCGACACGTTACATGGTCTATCCAAACAACCACATGGTATTGATCCTTTAACACCGTCCCAGGGCTCCGTGAACTTAAAGGAACGTCCAGAGCAGCCCAATGACCAGCCGTCATTACTCCATTTACACAACACGCTGATTGGCTCCGGAGTAATGAACACAACACTGCAATCAATCATCATCAAGAGCCCGCGCACCCGTGTCAGCGCCAGGGCCCCCGTGTGCCGTGCAGGGGCCGTATCCCGGGGCCAACCATCCATCGTCCCCATGACCAACCGTCCACCTGACCACCGGCAGCCAGTCCTGAAGCCCGTGAAACCTGTGCTGTTTTAATCTTCCAAAGGACTTTTTCTGAAATTGGTAAAACACAATATTGAAAGAAGTCATACTCTAAGACAAGGCAGGTAAGTTTGCTTGTATAGCGCAATCTTCTAAATAGTCAAAAAACTATTATTAAAACGTGCCATTTGGACCATAGTTTTACTCCCATGTGAAAGCTTCCTTGCGGAGAGAGAAAAATGACCTAAAAATAAATATATAATGAATGAGTTTTGCCTGTAGCGTTTCACCAAATATGTAACAACGGTGAGACGGACAAGGCTTTGAAGTGTGTAAATCACAGGGAGAATATGCATAAAAACAGATCAACACACGATGCTTCCGAGCCGTGGAAGCTGTCATACTGTCTGGGCTAATACTCAGCCACATTTGATCAACGTGTCTTCCAGGAAATACAATTATGCAAGCGACGCAAGCCACATGAAAAAGGTGAATATTTTGTCCCTAATTTTAATACAATTACCGTGTATGGAAAGTCAATAAAGATGAGAAAAGTGAAATAAATAATGGACAGACTTGCGTTTTTTGATGCGGCGGCAAAATTAACATTGATCGCTGTTGATGAAGCTTTGTAATTCAATTTTTTTAGAAATTAATGCTAAGAAATTAAGAGAATTTGAACGCCAATATGTTGAAAGTGTACAACCAGGTTTTCAAGGCAGATGGACACGTACACATGTCTTCAAACATCCAGCTGGAGACGGTTGATGAGTATTAGAATATTAACTGTCCGTTGATTTCAGACGCAGAAGGAGCCGTATTACAGCTTCAAGTGTGTGTGACGGGTTTTTTGAAGCTTCTAATATGGACTTTATTCGGTGGCAGAACACCTGTTGTAAATATAAATTATAGTTTTACATTAATCAGGAAGCAGTTTGTTGACAAATATGATGATGGGGCTGTAACGAGGAAGTGTAAATAATCACAATTTTTCAACTATTACAAAAAAAATGTTAAAGTAAAACAGGAAGAAATCAAACCACAATATGCATCTTGTTAGAAAAAGTGTTAACTTTTGGATACTTGCTCCGTGAGTCTCTAAATTATTAAATCAATCAAGTTTATTTATGAAGCAGAATTCATGCAGTGAAACCCAAAATGCTTTACAAAGACATCAAATCAAATAAATGTACAAACATTATTGAACATATGATGGTTAAAGACTCAATATATAAATCTCAGTCATACGCACAGCTAAAATACTTAAACAATGCTAGAGATGAGGCCTCCTGAGAAAGAGACCGTTCCATTTGTGGAGCATACACCAGAAAATATTTTACTCCTTGGGCTGAGATCTGATTGGCTGAGTGAGGAAGGTCCTCTGTTTACCCACTTCTTTTTCAGAAATAGCTGGTCAAAAATACACGTAAAAACCAGTGAGGGATCCAAACTATTTTAGTTCCATTTTATGGTTTGAACTTACTTATTAATTGTTAGTTATTGGCAGAGTTTAGATTATTCTAAGGAGGTTCTATGATGACATCACATTAGGGTGACTCAATGAACCTTTCACACAATTTACATACAAACTATCTATTATTTTTGACATTTGAAATACTAATAATTAACAGATAGGAAAGGTTTTTCTCTCTGAATTAGTTTGTGGTATTTCTTCAATGAAACCATCAATTAGGCTGCACCATGTTAGATCTAAAACAACCATAATAGTGTTTCTCGCTCTGCACATCTCTTTCAATTGTAAAAATCAAAATCAAAAAGTAGTTTGCTGTCTATATTAAGGGTGTCTAACTCATTTTGGTCGGGGGCCAAATAAAAAAAAGATAAGCGCTTTCTTGTAAAATCGTCATCTCTTTTTACATGTTTTTGTATGTTGACAAATTATTATATTATTATCAAAAATAAATAACTAAAATGACAGTGGTTTGGATATTATTTTCTGTGAAAAATATCAAGAAGAGATTGTATTAATGAAGGATAATTAACTATAAAACATATATGTTTGCCCAAACTTTACTTAATTTTAAATCTTAAATTTTAGGTTCAATTTGGAACAGATGCAATGATATGTTCGTAATCATAGCTCATTACAATTAATGCTGCAAGTTACTGTAAAAAAATCAACTGAAAATCCTTTCAGGGGCCACAAGTGTTTTCTTGCAATCTTGGTTCATTACTATAAAAAAGAAGAACTTTGTGCTATATCTATTACGCAACTGCGAACTGGAATTCTTCCACAGCCTGAGTCCTGCACTGCGTGGCCTTGGTCCTCGTTCTGTTCTGCAGCCTGAGTCCTGGATCTATAGCCTGTCCGTGCATGGAATCGAACCCCTCTCTCAATGTGGAGGTCTCCCCGAGGTTTCTCACTTTTTCCCATTGGGTTTTAGAGTTGTTTCTTGCCAATGCAGGAGGGTCTGTTGGACCCTTGTGAAGGTCTAACAAAAAGGACAGTGGTGATGCTCCAGGACACTTAACGTTTATGGACATTGGTCATCTGTCCCTTATTGACCAATGGCTTTGTGTTTCCATCATTGCATTTCTTGTGTTTGAAATGTTTGATTCTCTGATCTGTGTTGGCGAATTCAACAGTTTTGTTAAGTCTCCGAGATACTGTTGTGATTTAGAGGTATACATGAAAACTTTTTTATTTTTTCTATTTTATTTTCATACCTAACTAACAATCAGAATACGCCTCGCCTCCTTTAATTGATTATTAACTTCTACGACTGCCTTTCCCCAAGGCTGACAGTGTATATGATATGATGTAAACAATTGTATATAAAACCAGAATGCCAAAGCGCCCACCTGTGCATCTCCTACTTTGTATTTAAATGACTGCAGTATTTCATTACACAGATACCCCACTTGAGTGTGTGTATGCTGATAGGCTCTGAACTCTTGCGTCTCCGGTGGCAGTGTATCTAAAATGCAGTCGTCGCGAGGGTAAATTGGGATCATACGTTCGGCGACAATCGCATAGCAAGAGCACAGATACCACCCCGAGAATAACTACTGCGCGCGTGTTTAACCAAACAATCAACGACCAAGAGCATTTCCAATTTCACCGCGCACTGACAATCAATCATAGGTTCGTGGACGGGACGACGCAATAAAGGCAAAGTCTGTGAAGCCATTAAGACACGGGCAGACACCGGCGCGCAGCCTCAAAGAAAGGTCGTGCCACAACTTTACGTGCTGCGCTCTGGATCAATAGGGATCGCGAGCGCGGAATATCCCAGCGTCATTAATCATGCAAGGATTCAATATTTTGGGTAAAGCCTCTGGGTCCAAAACATGTTTAAAATTAAGATAAGATAAGATATACTTTATTAATCTCACACAGGAGAAATTTACTGAGTATATATATGTTGTCTTCTTTAAAAAAATGTACACTGATAATAAAAATTACAGTCCATATCGTGCAAATATAAAAAAATGCCTCATCTCCAGCATTGTTTGAAAACCGTTCTTTTTAGCTGTGTGTATGATCAAGTTTTTTTATATTAAGGTTTTTAACTGTTTTAATTCTGATATTCCGTTTTTTTGCATATTTGTATAGCAAAATTCATACACAAGGCAACTCAAAGTTAGAAACAATCACACAAGGCAATCATAAATAATCACAGTACATTAAAAAGAGAAAGGATAAAATCCCTCAGTTGTACAGTATGCACAAATAACAGAACTGTTTTAACCTGGATTTGAACAGTGTCAGAGAAGAAGCCTGTCTTACATTTTTAGTAAGACTATTCCAGATTTTAGCCGCATGATTCTGGAATACCACCACCCCATGTTTAGTCCTGACTCTGGGCACTAGCAGGCCAGTCCCTGTGCTCCTCAGAGTCTGAGTCGGTTCATATGGTACTGACATAATGGCACTAGCATTATTGTTTTACCTTAATTATTTTATACTGTTTGTAAATGTGTATGATTCTATGTCTTTGCAAAGCACTTTGGGTTGCACTGCATGAATTGTGCATTATAAATAAACTTGATTGAACGATTGAATCAATCAGTCACATAATGAAATACACCTGAACATAATTCAGGTGTATTTAAACATGCACTATTCAAATTGTTCTAAAAGAGGACTAAACAACTTTAGTTAAAAAACACATCAATATTACTAAAACATATAAAATACTAAAATATTCAAATCTAAAAATCCATACTTTAGCACACCCCTAAATAAAAAAAAAAAAATTGGCCGAAAACATCTCTGTTCATGATGTCAGAGTTTCAACATTAAAGACAGAATCATGTTGTAACATGGTTAAAACTGAAAAAAGAGGGCCACAAAGAATAAAAACAATATAGAATAAAAACAAACACACAGGTCATATACAGATGTTGGAGAAGTACAAGAGCAGTTTTTGTATTCTTGTTTTATTTAAAAAGCCCATACTGGACTTGACATGTATGAGAAATATAAAATGATAGAACTGCACTTTATACAGACAATTGTGAGAGAAGCAGAGAGTTGGTAGTTCTCTTGACAGGACACAAAGCTCCAAAGGGACAAAACAAGACTGTGAACACCGCTCTAGCACACCCTAATACAATGACCCCTCTATCTCACGCTGTTATAAAATTGACTGGATTAAAGAATGCTGGAGGACACATAAAAGAATGTCTGGAACCATTCCTGTTTGTAGCCTTGACAATGTTGATCCAGCGAGCTGCTAATGCCCCCGTATTACGGCAGATGAATGGGCCGCGCTGGGGGTCACGGCAGGGCTGCTCTCTGGGCCCACTCTTCTTCGTTTCATCTCTCTCCCTTTGGTCTCCCCCCTTTTCGCTTCCAAGTGCCTGCCCCCTTTCTTCTGCTCTCAATTTCTACTCATCAAAAGCCAAGGTGAACATATGTCCGATCCTGGGTCGCCTTGGCCCGGTGTCATTAGCCCTCAAATGGAAGGATTGAGGCAAAGAAAAACACCACTCACGCACACTCGCGACTGTAATTGCGTAAAAAAACAGACTTGCGCGTGTATGCTTTGCGCACATTTTGATGTTGTTTGAAGAGATGGCTGTTATCACGGCCAGGCGGCACGCTAGTGCTCCATTTGCGGGGGTTTTTTCGCGAGAGGAGTCCAGGTGCTTTCAAGTGCGATCCGCGGACAGTAGCCCAGCCAGCAGTGAGCGGGTGATTGATGCTTAACATTTGCAGCCCTTTTCGCCTTATATTAAAACATGACAGGTACAAGGCGAGTGCAGACGAAACCGCGGACGGGCTTAATAGACACAGAGCCATGCAAATCTGCTGCCGCGCCTTCTATTTTAAGCTTTTGGTGTCAGATGTAATGGCTTGGTGAAGGCGATATGTCCCCCCCACTGCACTAGTTCTGTCTGACAGTCAGGGGGATGTTGGCTATTAGCTGGTCTCAGCCATCTTCTGTCATTCCAACAAGGTTCCACATGTATAAAACATCTGGGGTATGGTACGACTACAGTTGGCTAGAATTCATTAGGAGAGCCTATCCTATTCTATGTTATTTCCATAACATACTTGGGCTAAAAGCTACAGCAGTTTGGATCTTATTAGTTCGTAAATCTGTGAAAACTTAATATTTTGAGATTAGAATAATAACACAAGTTAACAGCAGTTTCCAGAAAATTTGAATTTCATTAAAAAGTCTATTTGTTCTTTGACTTACAACATTAAATTAATGTATGACTTGTTACATGCAAAGTAGGATGTATCCAGTCTTTATTTGTCATGTTGACACTTGATAGTCTGCTCACAGCTTGTAGACCCCCCAAATATCTCAGATATGTAACATACTTTCAAATATCTATATCACATTTTAATCATATTCACATTTAAAAAAGGAACAGTGTGTGATATTTTCATTTTAAATTACATCTACAAATTCAGTTTCCGAAGATAATTGTTCAGAATGATACTGACCAACAGATTAAACTGTTAATGTTTATTATAACTAGTTTGTTAGATGAAATTTAAATGAATTTTTTAATTCATTCACAAACTAAATCTAACAACAGGCCTTTGCTTGAATTGAAAATTATACAAAAATAACTAGTCATTTAACTAATCACCAGCAGGTGGTGTGCATCATTATTCAGTGCTTTAGTTTATTTTTTATTTGAACGCAATAGTGCAAGCAACATTAAGCTCAAAGACAGAGACGTACTGCACCAGATTATAGCTGCATGTGTCACAGGCAGAGGAGCAAGAATGGATTGTAACTGCAAGGGCTTTGATGGACCACTGATAATGGATATTAGAGTCTCTTACACTTTTTAATGATATTCCAATGTTCTGTATCACACCTGTGAGTAGCTTCTTCCGGATGCGCATAGTTTTATTACTTCCTTATAGATTTCTTATGTTAGGAATAAACAATACTGATGCATTGGTTTTACTGTTGACTAAAGAAAAAGATGTACACTTGAAGTAACATTTGAGGAACTGGACATTTGTCTTTTTTTTTTTTTTTTTTTAAACCTACAACAACAACAAACACAAACAAAAACATATCCAGCACCCCCTATATTTTAAAGTAATATGACTTCTGTTTTGTTGTGCGCTGTTAGGGTTTCTAGCTTCCGATGTCTCCTCTTCACCAAATGTTGTCTTACAGTCCAAATACTATTCAATTTCAAAAACTCTAGAAATTCAACTTTGCACATGTCAAAAAAGAATGCAGATACGCAAAGCATGTTTCAATATTGAATCCTGTCCAATATCACATTTGAGTAACACACATAAAGGACATTTTGCTGATGGGCAGGTGAGGTACTGAATTTTCCAAAAGTGAAAATTGAAACTACATTATAAACCTGTTCACTAGTTTTGTGTTACGCTGAGTTCGTCAATTGTCTTTTCAGCTTTTTTCATACAGGAAAGTGAAATGAAGACACCCATCCTCGCCTAGCTTTTGTATTTGGTCACAGATGTCATCAAACTAGCTATTTTATGAAAAGTTGGATTGATCCAAAGTGCAGAACTGATAAGCCCCACCTCCACACAGTTGCAGTTTCATTGCAGAATCAGATCGTTTCAAAATGTTTTTGAGTCAAAATGTTTGGAATAATCCCAAACAAGTCAACATAAAAGGACAGGGATAGTAGGTTGAAGACAGGTTTGCTATATTTACACTCCCTTTGTCAGCCTCTTTCACTCGGCTTGAAAGGATCCGATTTTCAGTTGGAAATGGCAGCGCGAGGACAGGGCCGTGGGTCGAGTGCGCGCCTAACTACATTGTTCTAAAAATGTTCACTTCCTCTCCCCGCATCATATTTGATTTACTATTTGGCAGGATTTCAGCGCTCTTTTAGCCTCCATTTCCAGCGGAGGAGGAGTCGGTTGACACGCTGGACATTCTGAACCGCTCTGCTCCCCAGAGAATCGCTCGTTCATCGGCCATTTCCCATCAGCCCATTAGACTGGCCATCAGCCAAGCGGGCTGCATCCTGTTTCTCCAAGACACCTTCTTCATCCCAGCAGTAATTCGGTTCTCCACAAAAAAACTTCTGAAGGGAAGAGGTGGGAGATTGCTTTAGCCTCGAGGATACGCATGCATTAACTAAGTGGAACCAAATATGTGAAGCATCCCTGTGTATTCATTGCGATTCTGGGAGGTTTGGAGCGAGATGCGAGGCCTCGGAATGCGGGGAGTAAGTGCAAAAGTACAGGGTCAGCGTTGTAATTGGATTTTTCTGAAGCAACCATTTCCATCAACTGTCTCTCCAGAAAGTGAAGATTGTGGGAGTGCGTTACCGGCGCTAACTAGACGCCTCGGTCATGTGCAGCGAGAAAAAGAACATCGGCTGTGTGAAATCAAGCCAACTTTTACAGCGTTCAGATCATACCACAGAATCGCAAGGCAATCAGCATCAGATCAAAAAGGTTCAAATGGAATATCATGAACATCAAAATGCCCTTATAATCAATCATAGAAACATGTTAAAAGGCCCAATAATCAATTTTACTGTCCTAATACTGTTTCAAATGTATCATTTTGTAGCAGAGGAAGCCTCACTTTCTCACATTCCTCACATTGTAATTATTCACCAGGTTCATAAGTGCGTTTCACAACCTTAGTAAAAACTTCTGTTCACTTCTTGAACAATACAAGTGAAATGGGATGGGCGCAGTAAGTGATGTGTAAACAATATAAAGAGCTGTTTCAAAATGACATTTGCAACATGTTCCACAATAGCATTTAAAGAATTGTTACACTTGAATTACCCCGCCAACAGGGAGGGTTATTGTAATTGTGTCTGACTCTGTTCGTCCATAAACAAGTCCTGGAGGGATTGAGGTGAGATGTGTAGATGGGAGTTAGTGGTGGGAATACCCTACGCAAATGTGTAGGTGATCCAAGGTGTTGGTGGGATATACACACTGAGTGCATGTTCACGTTAAGTGTTTGTTTTTGTAGAAGATATTTGCAAAAAATAAGTGTATAAAGTCAAACTGTGAATGTGACATTTAAGCAGAGGAGAAGCGCCCTGCTGTCTGAAGCTGTGGTGGAAGTGTCCTCCTGTGCGCTGTAGCTAGCGCACAGGTAAGAGGAGAATGTGAAACTGCCACAGGATAGTGTTTTTATGCATGTAGAGCATAAATTATGTCCGATAGGACAACCTCCATGCCACTGTCCAACAGCTAGTCAATGGAGAGGGCAGGGAGAAGCAATGGAGCGGAGTAATGTGTAATCTTACTACTCAATGGGCTGTGCCCAGCAACGGGCCTCTGAATGCTGGAAGTGTCAGGGAGATAAATAGCAGAGTGTCCCCCTCGAAAAACATGATTAATACGATGGCTGGTGACGCTGCTGAAGATGAAGTGGGAGCAGCTGGCTCCGGCAGCGGCGGCACGCAGGAGAGGTGGAGGGGCCCGAGCAGCCAGGCAGAGAGGGCAAAGAGGAGGACACATGGCAGCCAGGGGAGGGGTGTGAGGCAAGGGCACTGTGGAGCAGAGTGGAGCACTGGAGGCTCAGCCCTATGCCTAGTATCTGTGCAGCTGACTTCTTAAGTCACGCTTTAGTGCTTAAACACTGACACAGGTCTGTGAGATGTGCCAGAGTTCATCTTTGTGCAGTAATTAAAGTCTTCCTGCACATCTCACCTGCCGAACGCTCCGTCTCTCCTGCAGCAGATCTGAACCCTGGCCTCACTAACTGTGGCTGCAGAGGACAGTGAAACTCACCCGCTCTGACCTGCCCGCTCCAGTCCTCCACAGCACAAACCGTCAAAGTTATGAGAGCCACACTGTTTGTCTGTTGTGTAAGTAAACATGTCGCGGGGAGGGACGCTCGTGCACGGTTCAGAGGCCCGCAGCCTCCCCTCGCACGCTCACTCCTCTGCTGTAATGAGATGATTGATATGCTGGAAGTGTGCGCTTTAAGGAGATATTAATCATTCCCTCTGCTAATTTGAATCATGCGTTCCATCATCCCCAGCTGCTGAGGATCACCTTCCTGGCAAACAAAGGGCGGCCACACCACTTGCATAGTCATTCTGTTCAGAGTTTCACTTTATTTTACGCCGGTTCCTCCCATCTGTTCGCAGCCCGCTCAGCCCACGTTGCACGCTGACAAGCTGGGGAAGCGCTGTGTGGGTGGCTGCTTGTACCGGAGGATGTGTGCGTAAACTTTTGGAGGAAAATGCTTTCAAATGCTAAACTAATGCAGCAAGAACATGACTGACGATGGTACAGTGTGTGTGGAATATGGACGATGCTACACAAATAGCTCTGACCATCATTCTTGTCTCAGTATACATCAAACTTCAGACCACTTGTCTTGGTATACATGTTGATTGAGACAACTCTGTCTCAGTACGCCGTTGTCTCAGTATACATGTAGACCATTCTTGTCTCTGTATACATGCAAGCTCAGATCACTCTTGTCTCTCTCAGCATACATACAGACCTCTCTTGTCTCAGTATACATAGACCTCTCTTGTATAGATGCAGACCTCTCTTTTCTCTTGTCTCAGTATAGATACAGACCTCTCTTGTCTCAGTATACATAGACCTCTCTTGTATAGATGCAGACCTCTCTTTTCTCTTGTCTCAGTATAGATGCAGACCTCTCTTGTCTCAGTATAGATGCAGACAATACAATACAATACAATTTATTCTTGTATAGCCCTAGGTCACAACAGAAGTCATCTCAGAGGACTTAAAAAAACCATTGAAATCACCAACACAGGTCAGAGAATCAACAGTTAAAACACATGAAAAATATAAAGCACACACAGAAGAAAATGTCCATACATGTTGTAGAATGCTAAAGTGTCCTGGATCATCACCAATCCTCACCAACAAGACCCTCCTGCATCGACAAGGAAAAACTCATAAAAAACCCAGTGGGAAAAAGTGAGAAACCTTGGGGAGAACTAGGGAAACCCACAGGGAGGGAGACCCATTTGAGAAAGGGATCCGCTCCTCCGGACGGACAGGCTAATGATCCAGGACCTAAGCTAGCTACAGAACGTGGACCAGTGGCCGCTGTTGTCTCAGTATAGATGCAGACCTCTCTTTTCTCTTGTCTCAGTATAGATGCAGACCTCTCTTTTCTCTTGTCTCAGTATAGATGCAGACCTCTCTTGTCTCAGTATACATGTGGCACTTTATGACACTTTCAGATGTGTCTTGTTGCATGGAGCTAATAGAGTGACTCCAGGGACTGAATGGGAGAACAGTGGTAAAGACGTCACACTCAAAGTAGTTGTGAATTGCAGCAGGTAATTTTTAGATTTTAGATCCACACATCGCTTTTCCAACACCGTAAGAAGCATAGGACATATATTTTGTACTGAAGATATTTCAGTTTCTAAAACATGAAAGGACAAAGTAATTAGTCTCATTAGGATTTTAGATGGCCAAAAACCAAATGCATACTATATCTAGGCAAAATATATCTTGAGGACTTTATTTCACAATTGGTGGAAGCTTGATATTTTTAGCTATATCAAAAAACTCACATTATCCATAACAAGAGTGTCACGATGAGAGCTCACGTCCTCATTTCTTTAGATGACTTCACCGCGTGCACACAATAAAAGGATGCATTCTTCTAGCCTTGAAAGTCACATATATTCCCCGAGCACAGATTAGTTCCCGCTGACTGCCTCCGTGCGCCACCTCTGGGCTGTTGTTCTGCGTTTGACCTGAGGCTGTGTGCTACGGGGAGCCTCGCCGACCATCACGGGCCGGTCTCAGGGGGGTTAGGGGTCAGGAGGCTCCAGGGGGGTTGTCACAAAGGAGCGCAAACACAAAGAGAGCGTGATACAAAAGTGCAGAGGTAAATATGAGTGTTTTACAGTAGGAGAGAGGTGTGGTGTTATTACTGAGGCTCTAGTCCACGACAAGTGCTACAAATACCAGAGGTGTCATGTAACTAATAATAACATATTTGTTTTATATCATGCTTTTCTGGACACTCAAACACACATACTTCACTTCGCATTATTGAATCACTCTGTACCCGATAGTGACAAACCATGTTTGTCCAATTGGTGTAGTTAGCCATGCTTCAAAAATCATTTATGCACATTTTAAATGTTATGGCATCCCTTTAAGTTCCTAATGTTTGCTATGGATAGCCATGCTGCAAGTGGTTAGCTGTTGCTTCGTAGCATACCATCTTCATTCTGCTGACACACAATTATTCCCATATTGTCTGTGTGTTTGTGTATGTGTGGGCAAAAAAGTTAATCACTTCCAAAAAATACTAAGAATAAGGAATCAGTGTTGAATACTATCTCTAGCTTTTACATGAATCTGGTACATCTTTAAATCAGCTTTTTGAAGAAAAAAAAACAAAAAAACAGAGTACTGGCCTTCACTCAGCCAGTCGGCGCTCTGTTCATAAAATGTGTTTTCTAATTAGATGAAGAGAGTGTGTTCTGGTCTGACTTATCCACAAATGGTTACTTAAACAAAACTCTGAGTTGGCACAAAGATATATCTCTGAACTCCAGCTTTAAGTATAATATATGTTGCAGGCGGTTGTCGCATTTAAAATATAAAAAAGACTAAATAAACATATGATTAAAGAAAAAAAAACAGCTTTGTCCAAGACGTTAGAGTCTTTGATTCAGAGTAATGAGTTTGAAAAAGGAGCCCTCAGACACAAGGGGTGGGGGTATGTTTATTACAAGCGTCCCCTTAGAACTCTCATGCTGACGATATTCCTCTTGGGTTCTGGTGTGTTTGCCTGAGTTAAAAAGAACTCCAGTCTGTTTGGAAGAGCGAAATAATGTGCAAAAGGGTCTAAAGCTTGATAAAAAGAATGCGTGTCCTTGATTGCAGTTTTGAAAGTAAAGCACAACGACCGAGACGTGTCAGGAAAAGCTCCTTGAAGGTTGCTCACGCGTCCACAACTTCCTCCTGACGAGTGTCACAAACGCACGCTTCATCATGTTCACATTTAATGCCCTGGTGTTGACAGATCTTCCATCATCTGTTTGAAACTTTGGGAAAGTTGGGGTGGCGCGCAGGGGGCAGATTAGCGCAGCTCGCCCGCGGTCTGAGGTCCGTCCCCAAAAGCAGCCCCCGTGTCCCGCTTGACGGAGCCATTAGTGCGCAGGCCAATGAGAGCAGCAGAACGTGATTGTACGAGGAGGTCCGCTCATCTGTTATCCACAGAATTGTACGGGCAAACTCTTTATCTAATCGTGATGAATGAATATGCAGACGAGTGACAGCTGTTCGGAGGCTCCATCATTGACTTTCTCAACATGTGAGGTTTGAGCTGTTAGAATATACACTACTTCTGGTTGTATTCATCAATTTCACTATAAGTACTATACAATCATTTGTGTGAGCTAGGGATGCGGTACGGTGTCAAAACTTTCAATTTCCGCCAAAACCCAAAATGAATCAAATTCTCCCTTAAAAAACTTTTTACAAATTGGGTCCAATTTAGATTATAACAGTTATTTACAAGACATTGAACTCTGAAATGCAAATCTATGTGACTAGTTCATCTTTCTGCTCCTGTGGACTCACCACCTGCAGGAGGATCAGTGAGGGGCTGGTGCTCTGTGTACTGGGAGCAGCTCTGACTGACCCAGAAATGGATTAAGGGGAAGAAAATGGATGGATGGATGGATAGTTCATCTTTCTCAAAACAGTTTGATTCTTTCACTTTTGTTCAAATGCATATATGTTTGCCCTCTTTAGATCAGCTTTATCAGACAGATAAGTTCAAATGAGAACCACCCTCACTCAGCCAAGCCGTCATCAGTCCAAAGTGTCAAATAGAGACTCACAGGGCTCTTACATATAATAACATTTTGAGCTAATTTATATTACACACACAACATGCTTGCTTAGCAGCAAGGTTTGAATCACACAACAGGCTTGCATATCAGAAGGTTCGAATCCCAGTTGGAACGGGGCCTTTCTGAGTCGGGTTTCCATGTTCTCCTCATGTCTGCTCTTCATGCACATAGGTAAATCTTCCAGGTATGTTATCTTCTCATTGAAGTACATGGATGGATGTAGTGATGACTTTATAGGCTAAAACAAGCCTGTGTGTGTAGAGGAGTGACTCACGCTGGCCCTCAGTGAAGGGCCTCATGGACACATCAACACTACCTCAGCACAAGTGGCCCGACCCTCACGCTGTCTGCCTCTGCACAAACAGCAGCTCTCCCACGGTGTCTGCATCTGAGTGCAGAGAAAGCATGTCGATGAAGCGTGCCTTCCTTTGGCCAACGCCGAGCGGTGAGTAAAGAAAACAGGCTCCACTCCTTCCACCTTGGCTTCCCCGGGCAGTCACCTCTGCTCCGGTGCATGACGAGCAGACAATTAATCCTAATAATCAGGGCCGCAAGCGTCATTGCTCATTCCGACAGGCCGCTGTTCCATAGGGGCGGCCCGGCTCGGCCTCGCACATGCCCCGTCTGCACATGTTGAGTGAGTTAATCGCTTTTAGCCATCTCACGGCCTTCACACTCGCACGAGCAAACCTTTGTTATCTAGACCAAGAGAAAGAGGAAAGGAGGCTTTCAAGATGTGCTCAGGTAAACACTGGGCATTTGATGGTCCAGGAAAGTATTTATGAATGTATTAATTTAACCAGGTAAGTACTCATTGGAAAACAAAAAAAAACTCTATTTCAAGGCAGACCTGTGAAGATCTCAGCAGTCAAGGGCTAGACTAATTCACATAGAAACCATTTCAAATACAAATAACCTTAACTACAATCCCTCCATGTCCTTCGTTGATCAGCCACTCTCCTTTAGACCATTGTATCTCCTGTATTTTAGGTCCTCATGACCAAGGTGAGGGTGTAAACGCAGACGGAAAGGTAAATTGAGATCTCTGACTGCAGACGCTGCTCCAACTTCATCAAAGCAGTCGTATGATACAGTGACAATCACTGCAGATGCTGCACCAATCCATCTCTCAATCTCACGCTCTATCCGTGCCACACTGTGAGCAAGACCTGAATTGAGAAGTTCTAGATCCATGGCCTCAAATTTGGAGATACTGGTTTTCATCTCAGCCACTTCTGCTTAACTTCTGCACATTTGTCCGGAAGAGGTCAGTGAATCACTACTTGATACTTTGGGCTGCGAGCTGAGTGAGGGCGGTCCTCTCTTTCTCAGTTTTTGTTTTGTGATCATTATTTTGACTTAGATAAATCTTTTATTTTGAGTACCCATGGTAACTCTTTGTAACTTTCCATCAATTTTCTACTAGAACTAAATACACATTTGGTAAACCAGCCCATTTCTATACAGGTGTGATGTCACAATCTACAACCAGGAGGTAAGATTATACCCATTCATAATAGCAACCCAACTCTATGAGATTGTAACAGCTTCAGTGCATGTAGCTCACCTGTCAAAGGTTGCCGATGCAGCATTTGGAAGTTGGTGATTATCTTATAAATGCAACTGTCTGTTGACGCTTGACGTTGTCTTGTAGTTCAGAAAAGATATGCTAATTATCGGGCGTCTTGAGCGGTAAATGTGCAGCTGTGACTGTCAGGAAGCTCACACAAATGTCACTCATGAGTCTCAACTGTGCAATTGTTAGGAGGCTTTTTTATCATTGTCAATAACATCGGCACCTCATCTAATGTTATGACGTTTATAGAACAAATATGACACTTTTTTGCTGCAATTACTTAAGCTAGTATGTGTGCAGAGGGAATGCTGGGAGACTGCCGCCCCTGTGACCCGGCAACAGATTAAGAAAATCGATAATCGAAAGTAAAATACATGGATACATTTATAATGATTCATAAAATGGGAAATAACCAGGGTTATTTCAAAACTATTTAGTGGCTTTAGAAAAAAATCTAACATAGTTATCAGTGGTGCAGTGGTTAGCACTGGGTTCAATTCCACCTTTAGACCTTACTGTGTGAAGTTTATGTGTATGAGTAGGTTTCCTCATGGTGCTCCACTTTTCCCCTACCACAAACAACATGTACCATATTCCCTTAAATTGTTAAGACAGACAGAATTGCGTACCCAAAGAGGCAAGTTACAGATTTTATTGAATGGATGGTGGAGTGATTCCTGGGAGGCAGATGTAGAGCAACGGACCGAGATATCGCAGGTTGAGTGTGAAGCGGAACTGGACACACCGAGAAGACTGGAGAAGACGAAGAAAAACAAAACACGGCTAAGTAAAATGATCAGGTTCTCAAAAGGTAAGAACCATTAGTCTTGTGGTGAGACATTAGTGTGTAGTACAATAGCACTGGAGAGTAGGGCCCAATCCCAATACCCACACTGGACCCTACACTCCTCTACGAAGTGTGCATTTGTTTGAAGTGCACGCAAGGGTTTGAGTGCGCAGGTTACAAGCGTGCAAAAAAGGTGGAATTGGGACAGTGCAGGTTACGTCATCGACTAGCCAAGAGATGGTCATTCAGACCTAAACTTTAAAATAATTAAAGGTAATTTTTTCTGACCCTGTGGGAAACAAAATGAGTTGCTCCACACGCGTTAAAATACATGTATATTGGTTATTCGTAATTTGATAGCTGTCTAATTTTAAGTAATTTTAACTAACTTATCTGGTAAGTTTTTATACATCCTAAGTTTATTGTACTTAGTGTAAAGTTTAAATTGAATGTTATATGAAAGCTTGGATTTAAAAAGTGATTAAATTGTTAGCATAGAGTGTCCGTAATTCTTCATCAGACATTTATGCTTCTTTCCAAGAAACACAGCAAAACTTATTTACACACTTATAGCATATATATTTTAAAACTTACACTTAAATGCATTTTCCCTACATTTTGGTGTGTGCCGCAAAGAATTATGGGCAATACCCTTCGCCAGAGTCCGCTTGGATACAGACTAAGGCGAAATGTGGATCGGGGGAGCAAAGGGGGCGGGGCCAAAGACCTCCCTGGAGAATTGGGACGCCCTACGCACTTGCACCCATCATCGGGAACGCGAAAATGAGGGGCGCGAGTATTGGGACCGGGCCTAGGTCTGAGGCTTTTGAATGTTGAAGGATGGTGATGATTGGTGCAGGTGTGCAGCTCCACAGGTGCAGGCAACGAGGAGTCTCTGAGGAAAGGAGGAGACGGGGAGAACAGGAGGAGCTACAACAAAAACTGTTTCTGGATCTATTGACCAGATGCATCAACGTCATCCAGTCACGTGATTGTGAATGAGCTTACGGCGGAAGTATTGGAAACTAGCATTGCTGCGAGAGCAAAACGGACACAACTCTTAAAAACGGAGCTTCCTCTCCTAAATCGAGAAGTGGCTGCTTCAAGCAATGTTCGATTACGTTATTGGTGGAAGTAGGACATCAGGTCAGGGCTCACAAAGAGTGGTATTTGGAGAAGTTAAGGATTGCCTAACTGGATGTTGACCCGTACCTTCTCCACCTCCTTGAGGTTTCTCACCATTTCCCACTTGATTTTAAAGTTTTTCCTTATAGGAGGGTCCGTTGGACCCTTGTGAAGGTCTGACAAAAAGGACAGTGGTGATGATCCAGGACACTCAACATTCAACAACAATGTAGCCATTGTGGACCAATGGCTCTATGTTTTTTTTATCATTGCATTTCTTGAGTTTGAACTGTTTGATTCTCTGATCTGTGTTGGTGAAGTCAATGCTTTGGTTAAGTCCACCGAGATAAGTACTATTGGGATTTTGGGCTATACAAGAATAAATTGAATTGAATTGTTTATGCACTTATTTTTGGCCTCAGTCAAAGGTTTTTTTGTGTGGCACCAATCAGGCCTCAGCCTCAGCATGTTGTATCCTGATTTTTTTACTTTCCGTTTGGACGCACATAAAGTTATGGCTTTAAAGGGGACATATCATGAAAAATCCACTTTTTGTGTCTTAAATGCCTTATGTTGTGTAGTTGGAGCCTCTAGAAGTGCAAAAAAGTTGAAATCAGTCTCTTCATGGGTTGCAGAGAACACTTCATATTCTGTTTAGGTAAGATTTTTCAACCCGTTCTGATTTTGCCATTCTCTATTACGTGTTTGGAATTATTACGTCACAGTATTTGCAGCGAGACTGCTATATAAGGGCATGGGCGTCTAACAAAACACTTCGGCCCAGCCCTCCTCTACTGTGCATCACTTCGAATTTGTAGTCCAAGCTCAAGGATGCCAGC